GAAGCCCAGCTCCTCCTAATGTCGGGTAGGGTACGAAGGGGAGGTGCTTCCCACATGGGAATTGTTCCGCCAGTGCTTTTGGAGACAGTGTACCAGATCTCAGTTGTCTTCTTGAGCTCTTAGTCAAGGCTGAAGACTCCCAGTGCCATCGTCAGCAGCAGGACGTGGCTCCCAAATGCCTTTTCATGAGCCCATGGCCATCAAGTCTTGCACCGGAGTGTGTTCAGGCTGGAAAGGTGGAGTCCAGCGCAGAGATGAGGAGAGGAAAGAAGGATGGATAAGGCAGATGCTCAGTGGGAGACTCTGGGTAGAAAAGCTTGGAGCCCAGCTCTGTGTTTGGTATCTCAGCTATCCAGTGGTGGGGCTTTCAAAAACCAGCAACCCACAAACAGGTAGTTTCAGTTTGTGGTCTAACTGCTCCCGCGTGGGAGAGCAGGAGCAGTCGTAGCGGAAGGGCCAAGAGTCCTGGTACAGGGAAGTGATGGGTCATCTGTTCCCTAAGGTGACTTCATATTCATCTTTAATAGTTAAATGTTCGGTTGAATTGACTAAAGTTTATCTTGGAGCTTTCTCTTTTCCATTTAAAACTCTGTATCCATTTATTTAAAGCTAAAATTGACACAGAGAGAATCCATTTTTTCTGTTTTCTAGACACTATTTCAGCTTTATGAACCAAAGGCAGAGCTTTTTTTTCTTTTTAAAGCCATTAGCAAGAAGGCCATGTCACAGCACCTTCCCTCTCCCCGCAGAAGCAATACTTACTCATGGGTGGATATACTGGGAATGAGAGAAAAGGGGGAAGGCGAAGCTCAGGGAGATGTAGTCTTTGCTTTCTGTAGTAGGTTCTCCTGGTGATGCGGTGAAGCAAGGTGAGCTGCCCCCAAGTCAATATGAGGACAGCATCAACGTCTTGTGTCTCATGAAATGAAATGCCAAAAGAGGTGGGGAAATTTGAGAGAGAACTAACCATGGTAATATGATGGATAACTGTGCGAGCTGTAATTAATGATGGAGGGCAGGCTAATGAGATAAGGAAATCTCATCTGAGCAAAGCTCATGAGTCAGGCAGGATTTGGGGACTTTCACAATTCCTCCATTGGTGCGTGGTGTTTACTCTGACCTCTCTTCAGGCAGCCATTAATTGCTGCCTGATGAACCAAACCCAATAACAACATTAACAGACCTGCTAATTACCACGGAATGGAGACTAACTCCTCCAGAACGTATAAAGGAGAACTTCCATCACCCCCACCAGAGGAGCTGAGGATCCTTCTCTCTTATTTCTCCTCCTGTGTTACAACCTTCCCCACCTGCACTCTCGTCTTTGAAGGCTCTGAAAGCGACGCTATGAGCCAACATTTCTCCAGATTCGGGGATGGGAATTTCAGTTCTTCTTCTGCTCACTGTGGCACACTGGGTGGTGGAAGAAGTTCATCCACAGTAAGCCACTGTGAAGACAACAGAGGAGAAGAAAGATACAGTGGTTATGGGTATGGTTATAGCAGCAGGAGTCTCCACAACCTTGGTGGGTTTAGGAATGTTTCTGCTGGTGGAGGCTATGGAGGAGAAGAAAGAGGATATGGAAGGTGCCTGGGATTTGGTGGTAGGAGACATCTTGATAGGGGCTTTGGTAGAAGAGGATATTTTGTGGGAGCCTTTCAAGGCGGTGGAGCAGGGCTCGGTGGCATGCGTGAAGGAAGTTCAGGCAGGGAGGTGCTTGGAGGAGGCCTTGGTAGAAGTGCCTTTGGGGAACAAGGGCCCAGGCAGGGTTTTGGGCAGGCTGGTGTTAGCAGAGGCATCGAGGAGGTCCATGTCAACACCAACCTGCTGAGGCCAATACAAGTGCAAGTTGACCCTGAGTTCCAGAGAGTGCGGTCAGACGAGAAAGAGCAGATTAAGGCTCTCAACAACAAATTTGCATCGTTCATCGATAAGGTGAGTCCCTGTTCTCTTTTTCACCTGTTATCTGGGAAGGGGGAAACATAAGGGGTGCTGCTCTGCCTGTGTGAGTCACGGGGAAACCTATACATTGCATCTTCTCTCCCCCAAAATCCCAGAGTTGGCTGGGTTCCTGTACGCTGCTGTGAAAATCTTAATAGCTTGCTATAAAAATCGTCGCGTGAATTGCATTTAGCCCTGGGATAAGTATCTCTGAGTCGTCTTTTGTGGCAGGACAATAGCGAACCACTGGGATGTCATCGACACGTTAACTCACTTCTCTTTTGAGGAAAAGGGTTTCTGTGTGGATAGCGATACTCTGGGGCCTGAGAATTCTTGGTGCTAGCAGGAGAAATGGGTGATGGACTTGGACATCCTTGGTGTGTTCTGCTTCTTTTTCTCAAGCAAGGAAAATGTTGCATTTCTCCCAATTACAAAACAAGTGACTTCTTTGCTTGGAGGTCCTAGCCTCTTACAGGTAGCCAGTGGCCCCCACATCTTTCTTCTTTACATCTTTCCTTGGTTTACATGGCAATACTTTCTCCTCTGCCTCCAGTCTTATCTTCTCCTTCAGTTCCACTCACAGGCACAGGAACAAAACAGCCGCAAAAACACTTCCACCCACATGGACCTGACATGTGCCTCTGTTTGGGTGGTGACATGTGTCTCTGCATAGGGTGGAAGCCTGTAGTATTTGTCACTCGTGAAGACTTAAGGACTTCTTGTATTACCCTCCAGAAAAGGTGTTGGTTACATCCAGAAGTTTTAAGCATGCTTAGTCCTGAAAAACAGGTGCATCTTTGACTTTTTTTTCTTTAAAAGACCTTCTGGATGTTAGCTGCCAGGTTACCACCAGTCCAGTGTCCCAGCAGGAGAGATGCTATCCCTCTGGTTTTCCAAAACCACCAGCTTTGTGTGTTACAGGTCTTTCTGACCTTCTTCTCTAAGGCAAGATATGTCTAGGAAGAGAGCGGTCCTGTGCGGTCTTCTGAGAGACGGCGAACACTTCTCATGTGTTTGGGTGTCTAAGGCACTTCAGAAACAGCTGAAGTCTGCCTCCACCCCAATCACCCCCTTAAATACGGTGCATTTAAGAGATGAAAAGCCAGCATAGATTTGAGCATCAACTTTGAGAAGCAGCAGCAGTTGCACACTTCATATGCAACAAATTGGGGAAAAAAGAGGCGTTCCCCACGTTAGTCCAAGCTGTATCGTGTGTTGGTACCAGTTATACTACAGTTGGTCCCACCTGATGAAAACTCCAGATGTTACTGTTCTGGAAATATTAATTGGGATTTGGTTTGCTATAGAGACTAACGCTGACGTTGGTGTCTCCCTCAGTGCTCTCCAGTGGCTGAGACACTCTTCTGCTTTGCCTTTCAGGTCCAATGTCTTGAGCGGCAGAACCAGGCTCTGATGGCCAAATGGGAACTTCTGCAGCAGCAAAGTACCCGGCCAGAAGAGAGCAGAAATATTGCCTCTTTCTTCCAAGCTTACATCAGCAGCCTGCAGAGGCAGCTAGAAACGCTCCAGAACCAGAAGGAGCAGCTGGATCCAGAAGCATATAACATGCTTCAGCTTGTTGAAGATTATAAAAAGAGGTGAATAATCACAAGTCTGGGAATCATAGAATCACAGAATGATTTGGGTTGGAAAAACACCTAAAGATCATCTTGTTCGAACCCCCCTGCCCTGGGCAGGGACACCTCCCACCAGCCCAGGTTGCTCCAAGCCCCGTCCAACCTGGCCCTTGAACACTTCCAGGGATGGGGCAGCCACAGCTTCTCTGGGAAAAGGCATCCTGGAATTTTCCAAGGCAATGATAATTGCGCTCTGGGATGGCATAGCTCAGCTTCTCACCTTCGAGAGTTTTGTAGCCATTATAGCACTGCTCTGCAGTAGGTTCATTGTGGGACTTGACTTTGCTGGAAGACTAAAGCAGATTTGGTGAGGGTATAACCCAGAACAGTAAGATGAAAATCAAAGGCCCTGTAGACCTATCCCACTTTTCTTTTTTTCCAAGAAATGTTGGGGTTTTTTTCCCAAGAAAGGTTGGGCCAGATGATCCTCGAGGTCCCTTCCAACTTGGTATGCTATGATTCCCTCCTCCTGTCCTCCTTCATGCCCTTCCTCCCCTGAGCAGTGAGTAGCTCAGGACTCCTTACTGCTGCTGGTAGCTGTGGTCAACCTGGACAGCGGGGAGGGGAGGGACAGAGCTGAGCAGCGGGGTCAAGTTGAGAAGAGTCATCGCTTCTTCTGGCTTAGCTGCACCCAAAAGATAACATGTCCAAAACGGGGTTTCATTCAGAATTCACAGGGATGTTAGAACCAGTCTATATCTATCACATTTTGTTGCCTGATTTACCCTACAGTTTCGCAGAGGATTTGCAATTGTCTTTGCAGTTGCCAGAAACTGCAGTTAGGTGAAAATCTGACACATTCCCTTCGGGATGATTCTTTTTGGTTTCTGATCCACTTGACTGAATGAGCTGCCTCTTTCTGTTCTCTGCTGCAACAGATTCGAGGAGGAGATCAACAAGCGCGCATCTAAAGAAGAGGAGTTTGTGGAGCTCAAAAAGGTGAAGTAATCCAAGACACTGAGCTAGACCAAAGACTCGGAAATAAAGCAGTATTGGGCTGGTTGCTGAGGTTTCCAGAAGCAAGGTCTTTGCTTAACTTCCTCTAACTGAAGTCATCGAAACCCTGAGCATTTTGCTGCAAGACTGAAGAGAAATAATTTCCTCTAGAGCCTGAATGGGTCCTTTGTAAGATGAACACCTAAAAAGTGCTGGTCTTTCTCTAGTCATTCAATCACAATCTAAGTGAGACATCATTATTAGGGGTTGCATAATGTCTACAGATGGCTCAGACAGCAGAATAGAAACTTTAGACAACTTTTTATTAGAAGAATTAATGAAATTATGTTCTACATTCTGCAGTTTCTCCAGGAACACGTTTATTGCCACAGCTATTTTGCTTATTTCCAAGCCATTCTTTTCTTCTAAGAGTTAAAAAGTTTCCCTTTGTTCCAATTGCTTTTCAAATGAAATCTGAGATTCCTGGGCCGTTATCTGACTCCAGGAATGAAGTCCTTAAATGTCTCACAAGAATTGCACTTCAGTGGAGAGTTTGCCATCAAAGAAATACAAATGTGCCCATGGTTTTGGTTTTTTTTTTTTACAGGAACTGGACAGTGCCTACATGGGGAAAACGGAGTTTGATGTTCGGGTGGAAATCTTGAGGCAGGAGCTTGAGTTCCTCAGATGCTTACATGAAGCTGTGAGTATGCTTCTCAGATTAAAGACTTACCCTCAGGCCTTGACAGCCATGTATCTTTTGGAGGTTCCCAGAAATTTTGCCTGAACAGGATTTTCTGGTGTGGAGAGTGGATCATCCTTGGCTTTTGATCTTACAAAGTCCTTTTTAATCTGTGGGTGGAAAGGGGGTCTGGTGTGTCACGAAGGCTGGAAGAGACACTTGAAAATTAAAACTGGTGGTGGAACAATAGGACAGGGGCAATGCAGGTAGGGAAGTTCCAGTGGGTAACTGGCCAGAGGGTGCCATTGCTTTCCTCATAACATGACCTGGACTGTTAAACGTCAAAATCTTGTTTTCCTTGCAGGAACTGTCCCAGCTGCAAACAGTAGTTGGCAACACCAATGTCGTTCTGTCCATGGACAACCAGAGAGAACTGAACATGGATGGTATCATTGAAGAAGTCAGGCAGGAGTATGAGGCAATTGCTCAGAGAAGCAAAGCTGAAGTAGATGCCATGTATCAGGGCAGGGTGAGTAGACATCAACAAGGTAGGGAGGTGAGTCTGTCTGCTCAATGGAAAAGAAACCAAAAACGTCCGTTCTCTTGTCTGCACATCAGTACCAGGACCTTCAGAACATGTGGGTGAATCAACGTGACCAACTGAGGAACAGTTATAAGGAAATCCAGGAACTCACCAGGCAGATCCAAAGACTACAACCAGAAATTGAAATTGCAAGAAAAAAGGTAAAGCTGATGCTTTCCAACATGACTAAATTATTTAAGTCATGTTTATGTGGGGACTCCATGCAATGTAATGTAGCCTGTCCTTTGGAGACAAACCTAGGGATGATGTTTTCTCTTCAAAATGCAGCAGATCTAGATTTCGGCTGTCTACGTTGGGACTTACTTTAGATTGGGGAAATTAACCCAAATTATCTTCTGAGTTCTGTCATTGAGGCAGGACTTTTATTTTCCAAGAAATGCCGGATGGGTTTAACAATCCCAGTCCTGTAGAAGCCAAGTAGACACGTTCTGTTTGTGCCCTCTGCAGAGTGCCAGCCTCCAAGACACCATTAAAGACACGGAGCAGCGTGGGGGCTCTGCCATCAAAGATGGCCAGCAAAAGCTTCAGGACTTGGAAAATGCCTTGCAAGAGGCCAAAGATGATCTGGCTCGCCTTCTACATGATTATCAGGAGCTCCTGAATGTGAAATTGGCCCTGGATATTGAAATTGCCATGTACAGATCGCTCCTCGAGGAGGAGGAGACCAGGTAGGTACAACCTATTCATCCTGGATAGAAGGATCTGGACAAAGCGGTGTGTGCCATTCTTTGATCTATCACTTAGACCTCCAGGAGGAATTCCTGCCTGGAAGGAGTGACCTCTTTCATTGGCTCGCTGATAGAGCCTAGCCTGACTTTTCCTTTTATTGGGTGCCTTATCTCAATGTCATTTTTCCTTCACAGGATAGAGGAAGGCTCACCAGCCACAATCTGTAAGTATCTCAAGGCTTTCCTTTGCTTTTAGAGCACTGATACCGTTTTGTTGTCCGTGGTACTTAACATCCACCAACAGAACAACCTATCTCAGATCCTAGCTCAGTTTCCTAGGGAAATGAAGCAAATTGTAGTCTCTTGTGAGTGTGTGTGTGTGAATACACATATATACGCATTATTACTTCACCACTGACTTACTGACTTCAGAACTTATTGGCTAATTTCAACCAAATTTGTAGGAAGTGGGAAACTCCTCACTTGGTCTATAGGTCTATGTGGTGCATGTCAGAACTCAAGGGGGAAAAGAAAAACCTGGTCCTAAAAATTGTGGAAATAGGAGGTCAGCTAAAAGAAAAGAGAAACCTCCTGGCCTGAAAGGAAGGGCTTCACTGAGTTTGCACATAAAGAGTAAGTGGTGGACTAGATGATCACCAAAGGTCCCTTCCAACCCTAACCATTCTGTGAATTCTGTGGTAAGCCACGTAAAAGAAAAGCTAGTAAAGCCCGATCCACATGAGAAAACATTCCACAGCTCCATCTACTAATGAAGGTCCATGTCCCTGTTCCAAGATTAGACTATGACCAATAGAATAGGTACAATGATAACCAAACATAAGTACTTGTATCAGCTGTGCTTATAATTTTGGGGGTAAAAAGAATAAGGTGGACATAATTTTCATTTCTTGCAGGTGTCATTGACCACAATGCGAGTGCAACTGGAGTCTTTGGAGTAGGACCTGGAGGCTTGAAAAGTGGAAAGGGGGGGATGAGCTCTGGTGGTTCCAGCAAGAACAGAAGGAAAGGGTGGATCTCCGGAGGAGGAAAAGGCGGAAGTACTGGAGGATGGGGATCGAGCTCTGGAAGTGGCGGGTCCATCTGTGGCGGAGGAGGTGGTTCAGGGTATGGAGGGGGAGGCAGCTCCGGCAGTGGAGGGTCCATCTCTGGAGGTGGCCACAGCTATGGAGGAGGATCGACTTGTGGCAGTGGCAAATGTGGCCCCCAGAGTGGAGAGGTGAGCTCTGGGGGTGGCAGCTCTGGTGGGAAAGGGTCTGTCTCCGGAGGTGGAGGAGGAGGAAGCACAAGTCACGGAAAATCAAGTTCTGGCACTGGGGGATCGATCTCTGGAGGAGGAGGAGGCAGGGAAAGCAGTGGAGGCTCCATCTCTGGAGGTGGCCACAGCTATGGAGGAGGATCGAGCTCGGGCAGTGGCAGATGCAGCACCCAAAGTGGAGGGGTGAGTTATGGTGGAGGCAGCAGCTCTGGGGGTAAAGGGTCCATCTCTGGAGGAGGAGGAGGAGGAGGAAGTTCAGGTCATGGAGGAATGAGCTCTGGCAGTGGTGGCTCCATCTGTGGTGGAGGCTCAGGGTATGGAGGAGGAGGCAGCTCCGGCAGTGGAGGCTCCATCTCTGGAGGAGGCCACAGCTATGGAGGAGGATCGAGCTCGGGCAGTGGCAGATGCAGCACCCAAAGTGGAGGGGTGAGTTATGGTGGAGGCAGCAGCTCTGGGGGGAAAGGGTCCATCTCTGGAGGAGGAGGAGGAGGAGGAAGTTCAGGTCATGGAGGAATGAGCTCTGGCAGTGGTGGCTCCATCTGTGGTGGAGGCTCAGGGTATGGAGGAGGAGGCAGCTCCGGCAGTGGAGGCTCCATCTCTGGAGGAGGCCACAGCTATGGAGGAGGATCGAGCTCGGGCAGTGGCAGATGCAGCACCCAAAGTGGAGGGGTGAGTTATGGTGGAGGCAGCAGCTCTGGGGGGAAAGGGTCCATCTCTGGAGGAGGAGGAGGAGGAGGAAGTTCAGGTCATGGAGGAATGAGCTCTGGCAGTGGTGGCTCCATCTGTGGTGGAGGCTCAGGGTATGGAGGAGGAGGCAGCTCCGGCAGTGGAGGCTCCATCTCTGGAGGAGGCCACAGCTATGGAGGAGGATCGAGCTCGGGCAGTGGCAGATGCAGCACCCAAAGTGGAGGGGTGAGTTATGGTGGAGGCAGCAGCTCTGGGGGGAAAGGGTCCATCTCTGGAGGAGGAGGAGGAGGAGGAAGTTCAGGTCATGGAGGAATGAGCTCTGGCAGTGGTGGCTCCATCTGTGGTGGAGGCTCAGGGTATGGAGGAGGAGGCAGCTCCGGCAGTGGAGGCTCCATCTCTGGAGGTGGCCACAGCTCTGGTAGACGTGGATCAAGTTCTGGCAGTGGTGGCTCCATCTGTGGTGGAGGCTCAGGGTACGGAGGAGGAGGCAGCTCCGGCAGTGGAGGCTCCATCTCTGGAGGTGGCCACAGCTCTGGTAGACGTGGATCAAGTTCTGGCAGTGGTGGCTCCATCTGTGGTGGAGGCTCAGGGTACGGAGGAGGAGGCAGCTCCGGCAGTGGAGGCTCCATCTCTGGAGGTGGCCACAGCTCTGGTAGACGTGGATCAAGTTCTGGCAGTGGTGGCTCCATCTGTGGGGGAGGGCCAGGGGACGGGAGGGG